TTTAACTTGTGAGCTCAAGCAATCCACCCATCTTGGCCTCCCGGAGTACTAGGATCATAGGCATGAGCCACCATGCCCAGCCCACATGCTAATATTTTAAGGGCCAACTGAGATCTAGTTAGCAAAGCGAACGACCATCCCGACAGATAAAAATCTTTCAGATTGTGAGACCCTTGAGGGCAAAATATTTTTCACTAGAAAAGGGTTTACGATAGACATCTAATATTTTGGTTGTACGGTGACCACCTGATCCATTTCTGTAAACTGTACTCTCTCTGGGAAATGCCCAGGCTCCAACATATACAGGGTTACACCATCTTAATAAAATACAATCCTGTCCTCACCACTATTGGTTGACCTGGGCTGGCTGGGATTCTGCCAGGCTGACTGGCATCCTTCCACAGCATTTGCAAACTACAATTCAGATGGGTGGCCAAAACTGAGGATGGACACTGTTAGTGTCCAGGTTCCAAAATGGGCAAAAGAAAATAACAAAAAACAGTCGGGGAGGAGAGAGCAGACCCCAGTAGGCTTCCTGGCTTCCCCAGGTGCCCTGGTTCTAGTCTGTTCCTATATTAATACACCCAGCCCTTTAACAAGAGTCTTCTTTTGCAAATGCTAGCTAGTTCAGATTGAGTTTCTATTACTTATATGAAGTCTTCAGTCTTGAAAAATTGAGAACTAATCTGAACTAAAGCAATCCCCTTGTAGTGAAGACACCACCCCTACCAGGTCCTTAACATTTAGCTATTTGTCCTGACCCTCTCCCCCGCACTTTATACCTAACATACACCCAGGAAATGTTAAATGTGTTCTAAGAATATTTGCTGATGTAAACATCACCATCTTCATCAACTTTTTTAAAAGGCCTTTTTCAGTTTATAGAGTAAGAACCACCCATGTGATTCTTCAGGTTTCCAAACAGGCTCTCTGGGGAGGGGACAAGGATGCCCAGGGGGGTAGATTTCACAGACAGGAGTTACCAGAACAAGAGATGCTGAAACTTGGGCACTGAAGCCCTAATTCACTGGACAGAGAAGGGAGACGTGGGACAGAACCTTCTGCCCACAGGGGCTCCCCTTGCCCTTGCAGCCAGTGGTTCCAGGATCTACCCTGGGGGAGTTCTGATCTTTCCTTCCTTAGAGACTGCAACCCTCCCACAGCTCCAGCCATCTCTGCCGCCCTTATAATCTCTCTTCCAGCCTCCAACTTCAACTGCTGAAACGTTTGCCATACTCTTCAGCTGACATAATGGCAAACCACCTTCTTCCCTACACAGCCGCTTCTCCTGACTCCCCATGTCCTGCAAAGAATCCCATTTTCCCAGTGACTATCAAGCTTCAAAATGTCACTTCATACTGCCACACAGTGGCACACTCTGAAGTCATTAAAGATATTATTATATATGTTGACTGGGAAAATGTGTGAAATGTGTGTGCCCCAAAAGCAAACAAGAAGGTGTAATGTGATCTGTGTGTGTGTGTGTGTGTGTGTGTGTGCGCGGGCGCATGCTCTCAAATACTTGAAAGCAATGGGTAAACAGGGTTTTGGAACCATTATGGTTAAACTTTGAGCATCTGCTTTCTTAAAATACAGACTAGACTTTGAGGACCTATCTCATGGAGAATTTATAAGGATTAAATAAAATACTGTATGGAAGGATTTACACTGTACCTAAACAGGAGATATCCCAGAAAAAAAAATTTTTTTTGAGACAGGGTCTTACTGTGTTGCCCTGGCTAGGGTGCAGGGGTATGGACCCAACTCACTGCAGCCTCAAACTATAGACTCCTTCCTCAGCTTCCTGAGTAGCTGGGATTGCAGGCACATGCCACCACACCCGGCTAATATCCCCAAATATTAACAGTGATTATATCTAGGTGCAAGGATTATGAGTGATTTTTTTTCTTTTAAGAGACAGAGTCTCACTTTATCGCCCTTGGTAGAGTGCCATGGCATCACACAGCTCACAGCATCCTCCATCTCCTGGGCTTAGGCGATTCTCTTGCCTCAGCCTCCGAGTAGCTGGGACTACAGGCGCCCGGCTATTTTTTTTGGTTGCAGGTTGGCCGGGGCCGGGTTTGAACCCACCACCCTCGGTATATGGGGCCGGTGCCCTACTCACTGAGCCACAGGCGCCGCCCTATGAGTGATTTTTGTTTTGCTTAGTCACATTTTTCATAAAAAAACTTATTAAGTCATCTTTGATTCCTTTTCACCATCTTCCATGACCCTAATATTTAACTAGCAATTTCTGCAGTATCTCCCATGTGCAGATTGTGCCACAGTGGCAGGATCCCACCCTGCTAAGAGTTCTGTCACCGCTCCCAGGCACTCCTCTAGCATCTACCAACAAAACTCCAAAGTCCAGCTCTCCCTCTCACGTGCTGCTATGTAATTCATTTCCTCTCAGTCCAACTCAGTCCATGCCAACCTCCTGCCGAAGAAAGCCCCCTCCTAGGCTTTCCGCAGCCCACCTGCTACACCTGCCTAGACCTCTCTTCCTCATACTTCAAAGGTGGAGCCAGCTGTGTAGCTACTTTTCCAGTGCTCCTTTCCTTGCTGAAAAATCCTGTTACCTTCAAGGCCTTCCACACCACCACTGCTGGACTTCTCATGAAAAGCCCATCCCCAGCCAGCTACTCAGGAGGCTGAGGCAAGAGAATTGCCTAAGCCCAGGAGTTGGAGGCTGCTGTGAGCTGTGACGCCACAGCACTGTACTGAGGGTGATAAAGTGAGACTCTCTTTACACTCTCTTTACACTCTCTTACACAAAAAAAAAAAAAGAAAGAAAGAAAAGAGGCCCATCCCATTCTTGCCACAAAGCAGCCCTCCTGTTAGGTTTGCAGGGCCTTTTTTTTAAAAAACATCATTTATCATATTCTTATGTCCCTTGTCACAGATTTAACCCCAGGCCTTCAAATTAAACAGATCAACACAAACCATCTGCAGATAATTAAGGAATGAACTCACAGCTCCTTCTTTTTTTTTTTTTGAGACAGTCTCACTTTGTTGCTCCCAGTAGAGTGCAGTGATGGCATAGCTCATAGCATGGGCTCAAGTGATTCTCTTGCCTCAGCCTCCCGACTAGCTGGCACTACAGGCTCCCACCACAACACCCGACTATTTTTAGAGACAGGGTCTTGCTCAGGCTGGTCTCCAAACCCACCTTGGCCTCCCAGAGTACTAGGATTACAGGCATGAGCCACCAGGCCCAGGCTTCACAGCTCCTTCTTAGCAAAGCCTGGGGGAAGCTGAGGAGCTGCCCATTCAGACGCTAAAGCCCCAGGTTTGTAAATCACTTAAAAGGCCAAAAGACCAGAGTACTAAAGACCTTGTGACAGTTCTCGAAAGGGGCTTGTCAAGGCCTGTAGCCATACCTTATCTTTATCTCAGATAAATATTAGACACACTAAAGATGGCTGTTTCTTTTCCTTGTGCTTCAAATAGGCTTAGAGAGAGCTCCAAGACTTAATTACAAGGAAGGTCGGGGCTGTACTTCAGTCACACGAGGAGGGACCTGAAGAATACTTTTGGGAATGACACGCTGACTCCCAAGCCACACAGAAAGACTCCAGAGCATGTTTATAAACCCAAGTTTCACAACAGAAGTGGCTCTAAGGTTTTCCTGTCTCCTGTGCAAGGACAGAACTTAAATAACCAGAGTCTTCCTTTTCACTCTCCTGTTTATGCTATGGTCTCAGGCTGTAAGCACACTTGGTGTACAGATTTATCAAAGCAGTTCACCAGCTATGCCATGTTCATGTCAGTGAATGCTTATTAATAAATAAAAACGGTTGGCTTAGAATTTAAGTGGTTCGGCAAGAAGCTTTAGAAAATCTTTTCAGAGAGAATTGGAAATCACTTCAATGCCTGCTACAGAGTGGGAAGACAATATCTCATTGATTTAGAAGTGTTAAGGCCACTTTTAGGATTCAATTAAGTCTTAGTTTTCAGAGCTGGTATGCTCCTGAGAAAAAGTATATATACATTGATTTTTTTTTTTTCTAAACAATATCTTAAAGGCACTAGATGCAAATTTAAAGTATTCCTTTAACAATATATATTTTTTTTTTTGGCAAATTAATTCTTAGGGGGAAAAAAGCAGCTTTCCTGAAAGGGAAGCTTTTACAAGTGGGGGATGTGACCAGCAGCCAGCAAGAGGGTTAGAAAGGAGGAAGTTTTTCTGTTTTCTTTTGGCTGCTGCTGCCTAAATCCCAGCCCTTGTCCTACTTTTAGCGTCACCCTAAATACCGGTCCACAAACACCCTATGTACTTCCCAAGGACTGAGAAAAACTAAGCCCTATTGTCCGGAGCTCCGACAGCACCCAAAGAGCTCGCATGGACTTCTCCCAGATACAGAGGACAGCCACCTCCCACTTCGCTCCAGCGGGCTTGTGCCATCAGCTTCCCCGGCTGAGGGGGCTGGGCGCGCGCTCTCGCGGCTATCTGTGAGCCGGGGCCACCTCGCTCGTAATCGGATTCTGGACACGGTCTGAGGACCCGGGGGAGGAGGCCCGGGCTGCTCCAATCTGCTGTCTACTCGCTCAGCGGACAAAAAGCTGTCCTCTTCAGGGCAGGAAAACAATCGCGCACAGCTCTGAACCCCTTGGGCGCGCTGAGAGCCTTTCTGGCAGCCAGGAGATCTGCTCCCCTCCAGGGAGGGGCACAGCCGCACCCGCCGAGCGCCAACTCGCAACGCGGCTCCGGATGCGCCCGCGCGTCTGAGCCCGCTGGAGCCGGACAGAGCGCGCCGGATATGTGGGAAGTTTCCCACTGAGAGTGGGGACTTTTCGTAGTGCGGGTCCAATCTTGGACATGGAGGGCGGGCGATGGCTGAGACGACTGCCCAGCGCCTGGGGCCAAGGAGTCAAGAAAGAGCCGGTGGGCGCGCGGACTTCCGGAGCAGACCCGGGTCCCCAGAACTTTCCCCCGACCGCGAGCTCGGGCGGGAAGAACCCCTGCAACCCTGCATCTCCGCCCACCGAGCCCTGCTTACCATCTCTTTGCGGAGCAGAGCCAGTGCAGCGTCCAGATTGGGAGGCTTGGCGGGCAGCGCAGCCGCCCGTCCCCCGCCGCCGCCCGCGCCCCAGCGGCTCAACTCGTCCTGGATGCGCGACTTCTGTGCATACAGCCTCTCCAGATGCCGCCAGCCCCCTGACCCGCCGCCGCCCGACGCAGAGTGCAGCAGTCCGCTCAGGCTCTTGGGCAACGGGGGTAGCCCGTCCACCCGCAGCCCCCGGACCGCGCTCTCTCCCGCGGCCCCCGGCACCGCCGGAGCTCCACTCATCGCGGCGCCGCAGCCCGGCCACGCGCCTGCCTCACCGACCGCCAACCTCGACCCAGACTTTTCCCCGGCCCGCCCCCTTCCCGGCGGCGCCCCGCCCACTTCCCCCCGAGGACACGCCCCTTCAAGAGGCCCCGCCCCTAAGGGGGATACTTAGAGCCAGGTAGTGGCCGCCCCCCGCAACTGGGCTAGCCTTCAAAGGATCCCCTTCCTTCTGCCTGCTCTGTACCCCGAATTCATCTCCAGCCAGGTCCGCACCTCCCCCGTGCCACCCTCTCCCGATTCACGTCCAGCCCCTTCCCACTTCCTATGTGCCACCCCCTCGCCCAGGCTTCCCTCCAGCCGGGCTCCTAACTGCTCCTCCCCTCCTGTGTTCTCTCTATAAGGAGTCTCGGCCAGGCCCGGTGCCACTCGAGAAAAGGTGAGCTGCTGCTGCAGGGGGTGAGAGTATCTGACCTGCCTCCCGCAGGACGTCGGGGAGGAGGCCTGACTGAGTCGCAGGACCTTTCCCTCCCCAAGGGCGGAATTCAGACCACAGAGGAGAGCTGGGGGCGCTGGGGTTGGGGCAGGTCCCACGTACAGGCGGTTGCTTGCTGGCCTTCTCTGTAAATGGCAATTCCCAGCAATATTCGGAACAACCAAGAAGCGCGCCAGACCCACTTTTCGAACTTAAAAATACAAATATGTCTTTCAGCCTGGCCATGGGGGACGTCAGAGTAATTCCAAGTGGAAAAGTCAGGAAATTAAAGAAAGGGATTAAATCTGGGAAACTGTCTGTTCAAACAAAAATAAACACGACTCACACCTCAGAGAAAGAGAAAAGACAGAGAAACAAACTATGCCCCTTCCAAGAGTAAAAATGACAGTTATAACCAGATTAGAGGTAAAGATAAGGAAGTAAGCCGTACAGCCCAAGTGTAGATTAAAAACCAATGCAGTTTATATAGAATGCATAACTCTAATGCCTCCCGATCCCTGGTTTTAATCATAAAGGGATTTAATTGTTCTAGATATACTCAGTAAGATCATAAAGTGTTCTGAGCACTTCAGACACAAACATCGAGAGCTCTACACTTTGGATAACTTTTCCCCCTTTAACCCGCCATACTGCCCACTCCAGAAGCAATGTCCTAGAATGTGGCATGATGGTCTCACTGGGCGGTTGCAGTTGGGTGACACTAATATGGAGAACTTTAGTGCAGGCAGTGCAATTTGATGGCACCCAGGAAGCTTCCCATCCCATCTACTACCCAGAATTTTCCATCTCCTCACTGTGCCTCACCCTTCACTCATTACCTGGTCACATTTCTGGATGTCAGGTATTCATTCATTCCCCCTGTGTAAGCAGTGAGTGTCTTCAGAAGAGTCATCCCTCTGCCTTTGTGGGAGTAAGGGAGAGGAAGAGATGGGTAGCATTTTAACCTTTTTTCACACCCCAGCATGAATTCCTTTAATTTCCTCGGTCACCTTGCTGTCTTTTCTGCTGTCCCTAGCAGAAATCACTCAAGTTAGGTGATAGGGAGTTCAATTATGCCATGGTGCAGTGAGAAAAGAAATCATTTCAAAGCATCAGGACACTGAAATAATTTTAAAGCATATACTTCAGAAGATTATGGATGGCAGAAGGAAAGAGACTTAAGGCCAGCTAGCCAGTAATATAAGTTCCCTGGTATCAGGACACGAGAAAAGAGGTACAATGTAGATAATGCCAACCTTACAATTTTAAAGACAGGCTCTGTATTCTGGTATACAAAGGCTGTCCAGAAAACATCTAGCTGTGTACTACAGGTATGAAAAATAGAATTTTATTACCCAATGAGGTGAGCACACTGAAATCAGTAGTATCAACAAGTAACATCCTGGGAAATTTCTACAGCATTTCTGTGGTACTGAAGACTTTGTTTATATAAACTTTAAACAATTATGCAACAGATTTTTGACATCCATGGGGAGTGTCTGTCAGTGCCTACTTATTCAAATGCCAAATAAAGCACCTTTTAAAGTTCATGCTCATGACGGAAAAGGAGTAGTAAGTAACTTCTGGAAATGTGTGGGTTTTGCTTTAATCCACTGAAGCGCTGTCTTCATTCAGGCCACTATAAAGAAATAGCTTAGGCTGGGTAAATAACAGAAATGTGTTGCTCATTGTGTTAAAGGCTAAAAGTCCAACATCAAGGCACCAGCTGATGTGTCTGGGAAGGGTCTACTCAGGTGGCTTCTTCTGTGTGTCCTCACATAATCAGAAAGGGTTGGGGAGCTCCCGCGAACCTCTTTTATAAAGGGCATTAATTCCACTCACTGGCACTTTACCCTCATAACCCTGTGGGGCTCAGAGGCCCCACATCTGAATGCCATCACCTCAGGGGATAGGTTTCAACATATGAATTTATTGAAACAAATACATATGGCAAATGACATTAACCTAACCTCAAATCAGAATGAGGCCAGCCACCTCCCATGTAGCTAAATCAGTCTTTTCTTTCCTGTTTTCTTGTTGTTTATGGGCTCTTAGAAAAGCAAAATACAGACTTCTAATCCACTGCTCTATTTACTAGCTCACAGCTCTCCTCAGACTTTGTAGATCAACTTTGGGGACCTGGGCCTTGGAGCAGACCTCACAGTCACCAGAGTCCAGTAACAATAGGTGGATTTAAAATTAGGTTTCAGGGTGGCACCTGTGGCTCAAGGAGTAGGTGGCAGGTTCAAACCTGGCCCTGGCCAATAACTGAAAAAATAAAAAAATAAAATTAGGTTTCTCAGCCTTTCTAGCCAGGAGCACACTGTGAGCTTTCAGGGGTCCACTTAGAACAGCAGTTCTCAACCTGTGGGTCATATTAAAGGGCTGCAGCATTAGGAAGGTCGAGAACCACTGACCTAGAGGGTCCTCATCCCCCTCCTTACACTCATCCAGCCACTATTTTGTCCCCACCTCTAATCCCCACCCCTGTGGTGTGTGCTTTCTGGAACGCCACAGAATTTTTCTGTGCTTTTATTTATAATTCTAAAACTTTAATAATTTAGGTTGTCAACAGAATAGTAAGAACCTGAAAAACACATTGAAAGTCTAATTGTGCTTCCTTTTCAGAGCTGGTGACCTTAAATGCTGCAAGCCAGAGAGAAGTGTATCTTGTTGTCCGTGGTAGGCATTCTTCACTTGTTGCAGGACCGAAAACTGGGTTACTTTGGGAGCAGTTGTGCTACAAATTTGGACTGAATTTTAGCAAATATATTTATTTCAAGATACAGTTGCTTATATTTCTGTCACTTCTAAAACAAGTTGTAATTTAAAAAGCATATACAAGACTCTTAAAGACCTTTTCATGAAACTACACGTGTGTATAAATATGATTAAGAACTTAGCATTTAATCATAGACTCTTTAATATACTTTTTAAATTGTTGATTTGTTGCCGCAACCATATTTAAGTTTATTTGGTCAGGGACAAGGGTGATGGGGGGTTTTTTTTGCAGCTGTTAGAGCATAATGCTGGGCACCTAGTAACAGTAAAATATTTGTTTAAAATGTATGTGCTATTAGATGTAATTTGTTGAGTACCTACTGGTAGGCTGAGGTGGCTTTAGTGAGCTGGGTTCCTAATTAAGTCAACTGAAATCCATCTCAGAATAAATAGTAACAAGAAACTTAAGCTTAACCAATCAAACACCTCCAACTAATCTCACAAGGAACTTCCCACGGAAATGATCCAAATAAGGGTATTGTTCCACTTGGACTAATCAAGTACAGTAGGACCTCCGTAGGTTGACACCCAAAGGACTGTAACTAACTGATGGACATACGGAGGTGGTCAACATAAGGAACTAAGCTTACTGTACTGATATGTACATGTGGTACATGTCAAGTCTACAAAAATCACATCAACTTATGGAGGTGGTCAGTGTAGGGAGGTGGTCAGCTATGGTTCTACTCTATTTTCTTCGCCTGTATTTTTATAAAAGCTTTCCCTTCTTGCCTCTTTGGCGGGGCCTAGAACTGTCTGTGGTCTGGAGCTGCATGAATCACTGCTCAAATAAACTCTTTAAAGAGTTCCAATATTAAATGTTTAATGTGCCCGTTTGTCTTTTAACTCTATTCTACGTAAACCACAGAATTGAGCTCCATGATGAACATGGGTGAGGTTCCAGCCATGACTGCAAGTGATTTACAGTCCATCAGCAGAGAGCATGTAGGGAGCACTGTCAGAGAAGCACAGACCAAGCACTGTGGCAGTCCCAGCATGGAAGGAATCATTGTAGAGTTTAGAAAAGCATAACAGAAAAACATTCATTTACGTTAGGCTTCAAGGGTAAGTAGGCTTTTGGTAACTGGAGGCAGACCAGGGAAGGTGGGAAGGGTCTTGGTTAGTTGAAAAGTAGGCCCATGCTGTGAAGGATTTTAAAACAACACCATTGCAGCTTTATTTATTTACTTATTATTTTCTTTTAGAAATGGGGTCTCGCCCTCTCATCCAGGCTGGAAAGCAGTGGCATAATCATGGCTCATTGTAGCTTTGAACTCCTATGCTCAACAATCCTCCTCACTCAGCCTCCCGAGTAGCTGGGAGTATGGATACAGGGCACCACACCTGTTTTATAACTTTCAGAAATGGGTTCTTGCGATGTTGCCCAGGCTGTTCTCAAACTCCTGGCCTCAAGTCAGCCTCCTACCTCAGCCTCCAGAGTCACTGGGATTACAAGTATAGTGGAGCTTTAGGAAGACCACTGTGGCACCTGTATGTCTAATAGGTGGGGTGAGGGTGGACGTTTGAGGTGAGGAGAATAGGTAAAAGGTGCATCTTTGAATTGTGAACGAAAGAGGTCTGACTTAGATAGGGAAAACAAGGGACAGGAAACATAATCACTGCACTTGATACTTTGCAAAGCACTTTCTCATTGGTGGGCACAGCCACCGGGGAGATGAGTATTACTCAGTGCCCCACCTGACAATGAGGAAGAAGGGCTTATAAAGAGGAGCTGTGTGCCCAGTTTGCTCAACTAATAAAGCTA